TCTTGTCTTAAGCTGAAAGAGAAACAAAGTTCTCGTTCTATTCTTCCTGCCTCTGTCTGGATAGAAGTACAGATCAGAATCTGCAAGACACAACACAGGTATAAATACTAACTAAATGGCCTCCCTTGGAACCTGGAAAAATAAGGTAGAGAGTATGGATTGCCCTGTGTCCTCGGCCCACAATAGCAGTCTGCACAGATTCCCAGTCCCTGGATTCAGTATTGCAGCCCTCCACCCTCCACTTCCAGGAATGGAGTCTTCGTGAGATGGCCGGCCCCCAGCCCAAGTGTAACTCCTAGTGGCTCAGGACAGATACCCTTCAGCCAGAGCATCCTCTTCCCTGACCCAGCAGAAAAGATAAAAGCTCTCTATTTTTTCATGATGCAAGTGTTGATATATCTGTTCACTATCTGTCTTCCCAATTGGTTCCAAGAGGACAAGTACCCTGACTTTCCATGTTTGTCACTGTATCACCAGCACACAGCATAGCTCCTGATATATGGAAGAGGCTCAATAAATATAGTCATGAATGAATTGGTAAACAAAATAGAAACTTAAGAACATCTACACTGTCAAGCCAGTGATTGAAATAACAATCTGAGCCCTGGCTCCTGACCAAATAACAACGATAAGAATAAAATTAAAATGGCTCTTATATATGGGGTGTATATACTGTGCATCAGGACACGGTAACAGGTGCTTTCCATACATCCTCTTAGTTCCTTCATGGTAGCCCTGTATAACTAGATCCCTTTTAAATATACTGGGATGAAAATAAAAAATAAATATACTGGGATGTACTGGAGACTGCATTCTCACCCAGGACTGGTTGGCTCCTAGGCCTCAAGGAAGCAGAGGACGTGAGAGCCCCCACCCCCCCAGAATAGGTGAGGCTGCGGCAGTGGCAGGAGTGGGCTGCCAAGGAGAGGAAAGGGAGGGTCTCCTTTGTCTTCATTTACATTTGTGTCTACCTAGCCACCTGACCTGCTCAAGTTCTCTTCTAGCACTGAGAATCACAGAACGTTCCCTCATTCCTTCCGTCATTCATTCAATACTTACTAAGTGCATACTCTTCCCAGCAACGGTCCTGAAAGTACCTCAGAGGCACTGCATTATCTAACCCTCACAATGGAGAGACCAGGACTCACAGAGCCACCTAAGGCCCCCATCCGGTTAGTCAGCAAATCGGGACTGAATCCATTCTTCCTCACTCCTAATTCAGTGCACATTCTTTGGGATGCTGCCTGCCAGTGATGGGGGCTTTGTCCTGATGTGGCTGAGAGCGCATCTGTCTCATCCCCATCACCGAACTGTTCTGTTATCAAACTCCCTGTCCCTCTGGCTTCTCTCTACATAAACGGCTGTCCCCACCTGGGTGAAACAAGGCCCCGCTCTAACAAGGGGGAGGAGGAGCCTTTCAGAGCCCAGATTTCCTGAGCACCTACCACGAGCCTGCTGCACAGTGCCTACTAAAGGTTTTCTCAAAGAAAGAATGAATAAACGAATGAGTCAGGAAAGAATACAATGGAGTCGCTACCATGAAAAAGCTGGAGAGAGCCACGCAGCTGGGTGTCCTCCGAGGGCCTGGCAGGATCCTGTGCATGCTGTCTCCTGAATTTCAGAGTGACAGGCATCTACATGAGCAGCCTTCACAATGACAACTATAGTAAGGCAAAGAGAGAAACCACACCAGGGATTCGGATGACAGAAAAAAAGATCCTGTGCTGAATTGCCTCTGATTCTGATGCCAGTGGGGAAGAGTGGCCCCATGAAGCCATTGTTTTACAGCTGCTCACCGAGAAGAGCCTACTTGACAGGGAATGTTGACAAGTGGAAATGACTCAGAAAAAACTTGTTTCTTGCCTACGTCAACCCCAAATTTGGGCATATCAAAGACATGCTTGTAGCTTCTTAGCCATTAAGCCATTTATAAAATACGTTGGAGTCAAATTTCATTTGTCTAATTATCCTTCAGGGAATGACTCACTCCAGATCACCAAGATTCCCACACTGTTACTCTTGTAAGTATCAAAACCTCATCTGGAGACAGAAAGTTGAATAGTGGCGTTGCCTAGGACTGGGGAGGGATGGGGGGTTGGGAAGGTGATGGGTAATGAAAATGTTCTAAAACTGATTATGGTGATAGACTAACAACTTCATAAATACACTGAAGGCCACTGACTTGTACACTTTATTTTTATTTTTTTTAAATATATTTTTAAAATTTTTATTTATTTTTGACAGTCACACACAGAGAGAGAGAGAGGCAGAGACACAGGCAGAAGGAGAAGCAGACTCCATGCACCGGGAGCCCGACGTGGGATTCGATCCCGGGTCTCCAGGATCACGCCCTGGGCCAAAGGCAGGCGCTAAACTGCTGCGCCACCCAGGGATCCCGACTTGTACACTTTAAATAGTGAATTGTACGGTATATGAATTATATCTCAATAAAGCTATAAAAAAGCCCTTATCTGAATTATAACAGACAGAAATTTTTCTCATATCATGCATTAATGTGTTACCAACCTTTTCTAGATGACTGGAGATCATAGCTGTGTATCTGCTATAATACAGCAATGCTCTATTACAATATACAGGACAGTTTGATCTACACTAAATGGCCCCATATTTTTTCTTTTCTTTTTTTAAAAGATTTTATTTATTCATGAGAGACACAGAGAGAGATGCAGAGACATAGACAAAGGGAAAAGCAGGCTCCCTGCGAGGAGCCTGATGAGGGGCTTGATCCCAGGATCCCAGGATCATGACCTGAGCCAAAGGCAGACGCTCAACCACTTAGCCACCCAGGCGTCCAGACCATCTTTATTTTCTGTTTACTTTAGTTTTTCTGCCAATGCACTTTACTTTCATCATAAAGCTTGGTGGTTAAAGCTCACGTGCATGGGTCATGTATCACTTACTGACGTATATGATCTCTGGTGAATTACTAGATCTCTCTGTGCCTCTGTTTCTCCATTTGTAAAACAGCAGTACTTACCTCACTGGAGGGTTGTGTGAGTTAAAGATAATGTGGATAAAGCATTTATTGCTGTTTCTGGCAATGGGAAGCCAGACTGAATTTCAGTCATCAACACTATTCTCACCACTGTTAGTACAGCTGCCCTAAAGGGACCCTTCTGAGCTATGGGCTTAGAAACCAGAAAAACCACCTAGAGTATTCAATATACCTGATGTGTTCAATAAGATGAAACAGGCACTGGGAGTATAATTTCAGGATTGGATTTTGGGACATCCCTTGGGAAGGCTTTCAGCTTCAGTGACACTAGGTAATTTGTCCCAGTTCATCCTTAAACAGAAATACCAGAGACCTGGTAAGGTTTCTCAAGATCCTGGCATCTGAGCAGCCTGGGTGGCTCAGCGATTTAGCACCACCTTCAGCCCAGGGTGTGATCCTGGAGACCCGGGATGAAGTCCTATGTCGGGCTCCCTGCGTGGAGCCTGCTTCTCCCTCTGCCTGTGTCTCTGCCTCTCTCTCTCTTTCTCTCTCTCTCTCATTAATAAATAAAATCTTAAAAAAAAAAGATCCTGGCATCTGGGAGGCTAGTGCCCAGGGGGATACAGTAGGCTTTCTCTAGACTAATGGTTTCTAAAATTCAGAGGTCACAGATTCCTTTGAGAATCTGAGCAAAGCTATGGACATTTGGCCCAGAAAAGTATATTTGTAAATACTGTACCCATGAGTACAGAGGAATCCTGAATCCCAGAAACTAACCATAAACCCCTGGTTGAAAATTGTAGCTCTAGGGGAGCCTGGGTGACTCAGTGGTTGAGCATCTGCCTTCAGCTCAGATCACAGGGTCCTGGGATCAAATCCTCATCGGGGTCCCTGGTCTCTGCCTCTTTCTATGTCTCTCATGAATAAATGAAATCTTTAAAAACAAAAAACAAAACTGCAGCTCCAGACTTCCTATAACCCTGGCATCCTCAAGATTCTGTGGCTGTGAGCCCCAGTACTCACACAGCAACTGCAACAGAGGCCTTCTAGAGGCATGCCCTCCCGAACTGGCCTTAGCCAGATAAACAGTCCTGGGAGCTGATTGCTGCATCTTAGTCACTGCAAATAAGTGCATCCAGGGGATTCCCAGGGACAGTCAGTAAGAACAGGACAAAAGCCTTGCTGATAAACAGCTGGGGAGCCCCAGCCCTAGGGCAGCTGCCAGATAGACTAGACTTTCACTCTGCCACCAACAAAAAGGAATCTTAGGAGCTAGAGGCAGGCTAGACCAAGAGAAGGAATTCAAAGGTGGTGGAAATCCCCCAAGCTCCTGGGACTACTAGGTCTTGGACAGAGAAATAAAGGCTGGAGATTCTGCTCTAACTGCAGGGAGACACAGCTGAAAGATGGTGGGCAGGTTGTGGGGAAGGGAGGGGACTGAACAATGGATCAGAGGCTGTTAAAAATGATTAACTGATGCCAGAAATGCTTCAATGTGAACACAGGCCCAGAGTAGCCATACTTCCAAGCAGGCCATTCGTATTTCATGAACTACAATTCTCTTCCGACTAGAAGGGACCTGCACCAGCTTTCTCCATCAGACTAGTGGGCTGTGTTTGTTTCTCCAGGCTGGGTTTTTCTTGCTTTTGCTCCTCTATCACAGTATTAAAATTCCCATAATGTGCCCCAGACTTTATGAAAATAGCTTTGCAACAATTGGTGGACAGGAAAGTTGGCATCATGCCCAAATCTGCTAATAACTCCTGTGTATGATTCCATCAGCATAAGTAGATGGCTAGAGAAACTCATTCTCTTTGGAGCCACTAGAAGCAAACTGTTTTTCTGATGCTATTTAAAAAATGGTCTGTAAACTGCAGTGTGTTATTGTAGAACTTCCGTAAAGGGCCATCCTGCTTTTTTCTTCATGGGACCAAAATTCCTTTCTAATTTCACTTGGAATCTATTTGTTCAAATAGAAATAAAGGTATTTAGACAAACATTTGGGATACTACAGTATAGTGGTATGAGCACTGTGACTACCCACCTGGTTTAGTTTCTTTTTCCTACTTGCATCTCTTCAGATTTTCCACTGTTGACTAATCAGTGTGGAAATTCTAAGGGACCAGAAGAAAAACAAAAATTAGAGCCAGACACACTCTATGGCTATAAACTAAAACAATCTTTTGGGAAGACAAGTTAAGCTACTACTAGTTAACATCTAGTAACATGTTAAAAGTACACATCCTTTGGGTCAAATATCTAGGAGTTTATGCTATTGGTATGTTCCCACAAGTAAAAGGATGCTCAATAACATATACTGTGTAACAGCAAAGAAAATAGGAAACAAGTTAAATGTTAAGAGGAAGAATTAAGTTACAGTGTATTAATACAGCAAGAAAGTAGGCGGCCATTACAAAGAATGAGATAGATTTCGTTGTACTGACAAGGAAAAATGTACATGCTCTATTAAAAAAGTACTACAAACTGTATATGTCATCATATTTAATAAAAATATGAACATGATTGTTTATGCTTAGAAAACTACAACATTTGTATACATACACAGTTTTTTATATCTACACAGCAGCAAACCATAAACAGTCTCTCTGGGACTCAGAACTATGGGAAAAGGAGTGAAAGACTTTTACTTTTTCCATGAATAATTTTTGTTTTGGTTAAAAACTTTGTAAGAGGCACACATAACTTTCACAATCATCATACATGCTGCCTATCTAGAATTCTAAAATATCAAGAGTGAGTGCAAAAGGCATTTTCAGACAAAGACTGAGCAAGTTTGCCCTTCAGACTCCAAGAATGTTCTCCAACAGAAGGGAAACCAAACACAGAAAGTGAGATTTTTGGAATCAACAGTGAGCAAAATTAGTAAGTACAGCGTGTTGGTAAATCTAAAACACTGAGTGAAATAAAGCTAAGTGGGGACATAAACACAAATTTGATGATAACATATTTGACAATAAGAGCATCAAGGATGGAAGAGAGATCAGAACAAAAACTTCAGGACAAACAGAAATACTGTTTAACTGAGACAATATATCCATGATGCATATTAAAAACTTTTAAGGTAAAAATGACAAAACATAGAAATAGAACATTTAAGTTTCAAAGCCATTAGCATGTTCCTGGGTAGAGAGGTCTAATTATCCAAAAACATTAATCATCTCCAAATTACTACTTAGTTTTAATTAAACTTTAATAAGAATATAAAGTTTTTGGGGGGTTTTAAAGTAAAATTACTTTAAAGTTCATATGGAATAATAAATTCCCCAAAATTTAGCCAAGAAATAAGAAAGGAAATTATTTTTTAAATGTAAACAGACGATCTGTCTTAAGAGATAATAAAAATTTACTTTATAAAGACTGAAGAAAAAGATATGGTTGTAACGCAGGGATACACAAATAGGTCTGTGGACTAAAGCAGCAAGTTCAGAAATGGATACAAGAAAGGAACTTATTTATCACAAAGATGGAATTTCAATGCAAAACAGAAAAGACGGCTTATTTAAGAAATAGTGCTGACATATCTTGAACAAAGCTTCACCACTACCTCTTTGCTACGTTAAACATAATTCCAAAGGGATTAAGGTTCAGGATTAAATAATTAAAACCATAAAAGAATTGGAAGAACGTTTAGGAAAAATACTTATATAACTCTGAGGTGGGGAAATTATTACTAAACAAGGCAAAAAAATCCAGACACTGTGAAGAAAAAAAATAGAAAAAGTTTCGTAAACAAATAATAGATTAGAAAAAATATTTGCAATACATATAGAATCCTTAATACATAAATATAAAGAGAATTCCTGTAACTTGAGAAAAAAGTAAACAATTCCTAAGGAAAAAAGGTGAAGGAAATGTACAGAAGAGGAAAATAAAATGTACAACTAACATGAAACAATGTTCAATCTAATAGTAAAGAAAATACAAGGCAAGACACCATTTTCTGACATCAGCTTGGTCACAGAAAAAAACAGTACAGACAGAGGAAGGGATGGAGGGAGGAGGGGAAGGGGGAACGGAGGGACAGATGGTAGGAGGGAAAAAAAGGAAAGAATATCTAATATTGGCAAGGATGAAAAAAATAATAATATTGGCAAGGATGTAGGGAAATGGAAGTACTCATATTTCTGGGAAGGATGTAATTTACTAAACTCTTTATAAAGTTGGATGATACTCTATTAAAATGTCAAATACATATACAACATGTACATTATTAAATTACGGTATTGTTTTTGAAAATGTAACCTATAGAGATAAAAGCGCCAATATAGTCAATGGTATTATAATAGTGTTGTATGGTGACAGATGGCGGCTATGGCTATAGTGACACAGCATCACCTATGACTTGTCTAATCACTATGTCACACATCTGAAACTAATGTAACATTATGTGTCAGCTATACTTCAATTAAAATAAAAGCACCAGCAGAGAAGGATATGTATACAAAGATATTTAACGCAACAATATTTCTAGTGAAAACAAAACATAACAGATTGAAAATCTATCAAAGGAGAAATGCTGAATATATTGTGGACCTCTAGGTCTAAAAGCCCTGAAGCTACTTAAAGGATGCATTAGATTTATACCTACCCAAGTCGTATTGTTTAGTGGGAAAAATAAAGTTCAAAATAAAAGTATGATCCCACTTCTGACAAAACAAATAACCACACATCTACCCAACCCTACATCCATTTCAACAGAAGACAGGAGAAAGGTGTGAAAGGATATGCACCAAACTCATTTCAGAAGGACAGAAATGGGAAGCAGGGGGAAGGGAGAAACTATAACTTTTTCTTTATAACATCTTCAAATTCTTTAGTTACAAGGAGCACATGTATTATTTTTGGGAAAATTAATGAAAATAAAAACAATGACAAGCATATGAGAGCAGAGAAAAACGCTGATAAGCATGTTATACACTACGTGTATTATCTTTACATGGGCTAGTTAACTTTCTTTTCTGTCCGAAATAGAACATCTTAATAGCTGGAAAACAATTAAAAAAAAAAAGCTTCATAGAGGGGGAAAAAAGGTATTTTAATTCCTAAGCATTTATGCTTTTTATTTAAGAAGGGGCAAAATATTTTCTAAGAAAAAATAGTATTTTCCCTATTAAACCCCAAAAGAAAGCCTAAACCTTTGGCTTGAAATTGCCCTGTTTAGGTGGTGTGTCGGCTTGTTCTGTGCTGTTGACTGTTTTCCATGGCTCAGTGCCCTTGACTGCTTTCCTCCCTCAAACCAATTAAATACACTCCTGGGAGTGAACTGGCTGCTGGGAACCAAAGCCCTGTAAATCCCTCATCTCTGCTCACAGGCTCTCTTGGTCTCCAAGCAGATGCTTTGGCTTCTACATCAAATGGGTTCTGGAATCCAAAGAAGTGAAATGGCTTTGCAAACCATTCTGATGGAAGGAGGAGAGGAAAGGGTTTATCCCAGCAGATGAAATAGAAGAGATGAGGAACAGTGTTCCCAACAAGCTCCTGAAGAACAGCGACTACACCGAATCTGCATTTCAGTTACGTGCAAGGTACATTCTGGCCTTCCCTGGTGAAGTGCTTTGTTTTTAACTGTTATTTTATTTCACTGACAATAAATTTTACCTTGAAATAATAATGATACCTCACATTTCTACAACACTTTATTGTTTACAGAGCACTTTAAAGTACCTTTCTCATTTCACCTTCACAATGACCGGGTATCAGATGAGTATCATTCCCACTTACAGGTGAAAATGACTCAGAGAAGTTAAGAATCTTTCTAAGTCACATGGAAAGTTGGAAACAGAGCTGCAACCCAAATTTGAGTCTCCAAATCCAAGTCCAGTAGGGAGCTGAGGAATGAAATCACAGGGAGAAGGGGGAATTACAGATAAGCCGATGAATAAAAGCAGGCTCTTGGGACTAACAGTTTTTCCTGTACCTTAGGAAAAAAATTATAGTCTTGGATTATATCCTACGCCACCTCAGAGAGAAACTTTGTTCATATACTGGAATAGAGCTGCTAAATATAGAAAGGAAATCCCATATTCCTGTGTCTGCCCACCCACATTGTACCCAACCTTCAATGCCATTAGACCTCTAAAGCCCAGGGGACAGAGGATGTATCTCTTTCATCTCTATGCCCTCAGGGTCTAGCCCTGGGTCTGGCACAGACTAGAAGCCACTAAATTTCTACCTTTAATAGTTTCAAATCCATCTACCTCTTCCATCCATCCCACCCACCCCTGGCTCCCAATGGTCCTACCCAATGCCAATCCTCACTCCCCATGACTACTGTGACTTCCCTTCAACCCATCCCCCACACAGCAACCACCACCCACAAAGGCCTTACTGACTCATCACTACCACCACCACCACCATCATCATCATCATCAGGCAGCCCCTGACTAATTCTCTGAACCCTAATCTCCACCTCTTTCTCAGTTTCCTTTTCCTCTATGCTTTGGTCACACTGGCTTCCCTTTATTCTCTCTGATATTGCATATGCTTTCCTGCCATGGGCTCTTGCACACATGTAACTGTCCCTATCTGGATTATACCTTCCCACAACGCCCTACTTCCCCACCTCCTGCCTTAGCTCTTGGCCTAATGGACACCTCACCTCAGTTTAACCACTGCCTCTTCAAGCAAGCCTGCCCTGACCACATTCCTGTGTATTCACTTTATAACACCACCATTCATCTGTGGCTGTGAAGGACCATGTGCAGAAGGATCATGCCTGTTTTATGAAATACTGTCTACCTATCACCTTGCCTAGTGCCTGGTAGATAATTAGGGGCTCAATGAGTATTATCTGAAAACATGAAAACTGTATGAACTGTTCCTCTTTCTCAAGCTTTCCATGGCACTGTCCCTCTCTTGGGGCACATAATGACATGTGTGAGAGTTATCTGAGTCTTTTTTCCCCTATCAGACTACAAGCTACTTAGAAGTCTTATTTATCTTGGTATTCCCCATAGCGCCTTGCATAATGCCTAAACACAAGGGTTCTTCTGCACAGTGGATGGATTCTTGTACACGCACAGGAAAGTACAAAGGAAGGCTCTAGCCTCTCACCAACTATAGACAATGATTTCTCCTACCTGGGGGACTGCAGCATAAGGCATGAGCACTTCTGAGACAGGCGAAGACTCTGCCCAGAGAATCAGAAGTGAAGCCTGAAAAGCAGTGGTAGTATATGGGTGAGAAGATAGAGGAGTGGAGGACGGGACAAGTATGTACTGCTAAATGGGACTTTCTTACACTGGCAGAAACTTTCTGATACCCAAGTGGAATGTGTGTAAGAGATCCAACAAAGTTCACCTCTGACCTAGACATGCCTTATTAAAAAATTGGAGATGTGAAACCACTGGGTGATGATTTAAGTGTTTTTCTCTACTGTCTAGCTTTCCTTCCATGAACATGTTCTAATTTTGTAATCTGGAAAAAAAACTCCACCATAATAAATGTCATAAAAACAAGCCAACAGAAAATCCAGTAGTGATCTTAGACTGAAGAATTACCCATCCTTATGTCTCCTTACTAAACCTAGGATTGCAGATTCAGAGTCCTCCACGGTGGAGCCCCTGCAATGAGTGAGGGAGAGTTCCTGCCTTTCATCTGAAGCCTTGGATGGGAAGGTGCCAGGAATGAAAGCTTTAGCAGGGAGCAGCTCTCGTTTCTCCCTAATGCAAACGCTGGCAAAGCTCTGAGAATCAGGAAATGGAGGGGAAGTGTGGGAATAAACAACCAGCTCAAGACCAGGACCCCCACCCACTAGAAGCCAATCCACTGCAACTGTTCATTTACATTCACCGTCCTGTCTTTCCTGATGCACCAAGAACTTCACAAGGCCACAGGCTGTCTCCTCATGGCCCTGTTCCTCCACCCTTGTGCTCAGTATTAGTCTGTCTTCAGTGTAATTTACTGAAAGGCAGAGACAACATTTATAACGTACTAAACATAATGACTGACCTAGGTCCCTGGGACATGATAAGAACACATCAGCTACCAATACTTTATTTCTATAGTGTCCTGAAGGTCATTATTCATTTTGGAAAAGCCAAGTTGAAGAATAATAATTTCTTGGAAGATTAAAGAGACTTCTTTAAAATAAAGTTAGGAAATGCTGGCCTCCTCAAGTAAGAGCGAATGCATTTTCATCTGCAGTTCAGAATCATTCAGCATTGCAGCTGACTTGCAGCTTCCAAAGGAACCACTCTTTGAAGGAGTAGTGCTCACAGTTTTCACAAGGCATTTCTGAGAGATTTCCAGGAGGTAGTGAGCTCAGCCTTGAGTTGTGATTAATGATTTGTTTCCAAGAACTTTAGATTTTCCACATCTCTCTCCACTTAGGAATCACTTCTGGCACCTTGTGAAAACACTCAGCAGAGTTAATTGGGTGAACTCAGCTTCTTGTCACACAGAAAATAACACCTGCCACCAGTTTCTTCCTTAAGTGGCTGGGCCAGCATCTTCTGGTCCCAGCAGAAAAGCATCCACTTTTGTTTTTGGTCTTAGCACCTGACTGAGTGATAGGAAACAGTGCTAAGGCTTGGCTGAAAGAGCCAGCACAGCAGCTCCAAGGGATTTCGACAGTTATCAGTTCAGAGATGACCTCATGTCCCTCATATAAATGTCATCCTACGACCAAGGGGACCAGGGCCTGTATACACTGGCTAACATTCTCCTTCTGGAAACCATAAAGTAGCTAATCCAAGCATGTATTTTTGTGTCAACTAATGTGCTATGGGCTTTGTTTCATCCTCGTGGTACCCGTGGAGGTAGGTATAACTGCAACCCCTTACTTAGAGAAACAGGCTCTACAAGGTAATCTGTTCCAGATGTCTCCCCTAGGAGGTGGTGAGGGCAGAGCTTTTACTGCTACTCTCCCCAACTTCTCACTGAACTCTATATAGTCTGAGTGACAGGGACTACAGACATCCACCAGCCTAGGGGCGCAAACGTAAATGCCCATAGGGGCCAAGGGGCAGGGGAGAGACTAGAGATGGTGACAGACCGGCAAGCAAATGGCATATACAGTAATGAACTGGAGAACACACCTGCTAAAGACATTCAAACTCATACAAAAATAAAAATCAAAGGCAGGTACTGTCATTCCAGAGTATCAACTCCTCACCACCATCTTTGGAAGAGGGACCACCCTTTTTTTTAAGTAGGTGCCATGCATAGTGTGGAACCCAACACAGGGCTTGAACTCATGACCCTGAGATCAAGACCTGAGCCGAGGGGCACGTGGGTGGTTCAGTCAGTCAAGAGTCTGCCTTCAGCTCAGGTCATGATTCTAGGGTCCTGGGGGAGAGGCCCATGTTGGGCTCCCAGCTCAGCAGGCAGTCTGCTTCTCCCTTTCTCTCTGCCCCTCCACCTGCTCATGCACTCTCTCTCAAATAGATAAAAATAAAATATTTTAAAAAAGCAATAAAGGGACACCCTGGTGGCTCAGTGGTTGAACATCTGCCTTTGGCTCAGGTCATGAACTCGGGATCCTGGGATCAAGTCCTGCATTGGGCTCCCCTCAGGGAGCCTGCTTCTCCCTCTGCCTGTGTCTCTGCCCCTCTCTGTGTCTCTCATGAATAAATAAAATCTCCAAAAAAATTAAAAATAAATAAAAACAAAATAAAAAAAATAAGACCTGAGTTGAAATCAAGGGTCGGATATTTAACCAACTGAGCCAACCAGGTACCCCTGGGATCATTTTTTTAATTAGCCAAAGTGTAGAAATCTTGAGTAGCTGGGCTGGGGCTGAGGCAGAGACAGAGGCAGAGGGAGAGGCGGAGGCGGAGGCGGAGGCAGAGGTGGAAGCCCACTGCCCATGACCATGGGTGATTCCATGGCAACAATGGTCCACTTTCAAAGAGTTGAGATGCTGGTGAAGACCAAAACTCTCAGATATGCAAAGGGGCTTTGAGAACCCTCCTAGTAACTATGATCTTAATTCAAGCAGTTTTTAAAAATTATTTTTAAAAGATTTTATTTATGAGAGAGGGAGAGAGAGAGCATGAGAGGGGTAAGGGACAGAGAGAGAAGCAAACTCCTGGCTGAGCAGGGAGTCCAACGTTGGGCCTGATCTCGGGACTCTAGGATCATGACCTGGGCTGAAAGCAGACACTTAACCGACTGAGTCACTTAGGCACCCCAATTCAAGCAGTTTTTAAATACTGTATCTTCCTGAGGGCTGGAGCCTCTAATAGCCTTAAAGATAAAAGTCCCTTAAACTGCCAAGATCTAGAACCCTGGCAACTTAAAAATCCAAGATTTGACAACATCACTGGCTTTTCTTTGCCCTTTGGCTCCAGCCATGCTGTCCGAAGCAGCAGAGGCCATGTCTCGGTGGAAGAGCAGCAGAGAGATTTTCCTTCCTTTTCTCCCTCCTTTTAGCCAGGCCAGGGACTAGGATGGCGGGCTCTCCATAAGATGGAATATGCTAGGCCTCCTCTGGACCTGTGTGCCAGGCTTTCTACCAGGTAACAGGATTATGGTAATGGAAGAGACAGACTCAGGAGAGCGAACATGCGGTTAGGAGAGAGGATGAATGGGGTGAATGGAAGGAAGTCCTGCCGTAACTATGTAAGCACGGTTCAGGTGAACACAAGGAAGGTGTTCGGGATAATCTGAGAACATACCCTGGAGGTTAATCCTCAATCAGTGGAGTTAGGGAATGACGACACTGACCACCTCAGGTTATGCAAAGGGAGCACCTAAGAGACACTCAATAGTGTTGTTATTTCTCCTCCCTCCCTATTGTGTGTGAGAGTGCACACATGCACACACATCACACTGAGATTTTCTTTCTTCAGGAACAACAAACTTACAAAACTACAAAAACTCAGAAAGTAACTTACTGTTGCCTGTTTTATGTCCTCTTTTAATTGTCTTTATAGCTGCTAGTTTTTACCCACTCTGGCATACTGAAAACAAAGGGTAGTTTGCTCCTCAAACCCTAAAGATTCTCCTCAAAGCAAGAGATATGGATGATTCATTTCAAGCTGAATTCCAAAATATAGCTATCATCTAGTTTTGTCCCCTCATTTAGGTAGAAAAGAGGAAACCAGGGCCCAGGGAGTGTAGAACACTTGCTCAGGGCTACAAAGCCTGTGTGGGTGGCCCCTTGGTTCTTAAAGCTAAAGGCTTTCCCCTTTAACCGTGATTTCCCAACTATCTCTACCAGCTAGCAGGGGAGGTGGGTCGCTCGCAGCAGCTGCAGGACATGTACCTCCAACCACCAGAAAACTGTCAGCTCAGGTGGTCAGCTCCGGCGCCCACCGGTGAGGGGCCTGGAGCAACAAGGCCTCTGCATAGAATGGCTCACCTGGTTGAAAATCCTGAACACAGACCCCAAAAAATAAAATGCTGAAGTGCTTACTCACGTTTGTTCTGTTTACTTTCTAGACATCAATGGCAAATTTTAAAAAGGAAGCAATAAAAAGACCACAAAGCCAAAGTTAAAGCCTTCCAACACTTCTTTCCATCTTGGGAGTCCGCGCAGCTGCTGTGGCAGTGGAGCTCATGTGATAAGTTAACTTCAGAACCCCGATCACTCCTGTATCTTACATTTAGAATACCAATCTTGTATTTGGGAGGGGAAGATTACAGGAATTGTCACTTCCAGAGACATTTTTCTCTAGAGCGTTTAAAATTGTTTGTAGCACCTTCGTAATCAGAGAAAAAACTAAAAGTTTTACAAATCCCAGTGTCTAAGGAAGGACTTAATTCTTCACCTATCTTGATGCAAGGAGCTGCTTTTAAAGCTTTAGCCAATCTGTCAGCGTTCTCTGGGTAAAAAAAGTCAAACAGCGATTGAATGGAGCCCATCTGTGAAACTTGAGTTCAGACTCTTGCCCCAGGCAATTTCAGACAAAGCCATAATTTTCAGAGCAATAATATATCATAATATAAAAATAGACACTTTGTGACCAACAGGCTGTAAAGCAAGCCAAGCTCTCCAGAGAGCTCTGCCTCCAAGCCCTACTCTCCCTGGGGGTGGAGGTGGCGGTGGAGAATAAAGTTCTACTTACAAGACCAAAGAGTTTCTCCAAAGTCCAGGGATCCTCAGTCACAAGCGAAGGGAGAATTTAAGAAACCAGGATTCAAAAAGCCTCCCCTTTTAAGGGTTAGAGATTAGCAGGCCAAGCCAGCAGGGCAGTGCAGTCTGGATTCTTTCTTCCCTCTCTCACTCTCCCTGTCTCTCCGCGTCTCTAAATGAAATGCACTTCGAGGTTTTAGTGGGTGTTTCCCACGTCTCCAGCCAAGTAAGTCCCCATTTGTTGTAACCCAATGCTCAGCCTGATGATGTCAACCACTCAACTCCCTTGCTCAGTTTCCACCTCTCTGTCAACGGGGGAGATCCATTTCCTCTGGACAATGAGCCAGGGGGCTGTAACTGCATCCCAGGCCGTCACATTTGCCTAACATCCTTCCTTCAATTTTCAACAGCGCAGCCTTAGTGACAAAAGGCTTCCTATCCACTCACTGGGCCAGGGCTCCTGGCCTAAGTCCCTTTGCCTTGTAGTCACTGCTGACAGAGGGCGATCTAGTTTGCTTTGCTGGGTTTTAATTCACTTCTTTGGTGTGTAATACCCTCATTAGGGTGGAGATCTGCATCCCCACTCCACCTCACCCTCATTTCCTTCTGCTCAATTTTCCAAGTTGTTCAATTTCTCCACCAAGTTTCCTAGGTGCATGCTGGGCACAGTGTTAGGTTTGTCCCTCACATAGGGGAGATGACACATATCCAAGTGCAAGGCTCAGAAGGAGCGCTGGTCTATTGCCTGGAGAACTCGGGTTCTGGTCTCAAGTGCACTCCTAACTGAATGAATGACCTCAAGCAAGTCACCTCTCTCCCTGGACCTCAGTTTCCCCATCTATAAAATGATGGTTTTGGGGTCTCCCACTTCTGAAATTCAGTGACTAAGGAGCTTACCAACAAATGCAACATAAAAAATTTTACAAGCTGGCTGACTACATGCTTGAGGGAGGGAAGAACTGTGACAGGTCAGAGGCCAATGCCCACGATGCCAGGTTTGGCCTGGCTCCTCGACCCCCTTTGCGGTGGAGCTGAACTATTTCTCTGGGAGAAAACCCCAGAGAATTCACTGCACAAGCCCTGGGAGACATGGAAAGAGGCAGCATAAACTACCAGATAAGATAAAGGAGCATGAGAACTGTCCTTAGGGATTAACATGGAACAGCAATGATTAGAAGAGACCATAATAATCTCTTGCATTTGTAGTACAGGCTTCCAGGGGAAGACAAACAGAAACCTCTGTACTTCTTGTACAGAGGGAAGCAGTGTTACATGTATATTTCTTATAGGCATCAATTTGGGAACCAGAGATATGGATCTGAGTCCTGTTTGACTTAACTTCTCTGAATTTTTTTTAAACTATAAAATAGGGTAATAGGAGCTCCCTTTTAGGACTGTAAGAATTGAAGAAAACATGCAAGGGAACTGAACGTATCTGCACATACTAAGTGTTGATAGATGGTAGCTTTGTTTTCATATATAATCTCATCTGATTTTTGTTTTAGGAGAATTAGTACCCAGGGGCTCAATTATTTAATCTGCTTTCCCTGGATAGGAAAATGAAACACAGAGAAGTCAAGTAATATGCCCAAGGTAACAAAGCTCAAGATTAAAGGCCCAGACCTAGAAACTGAGTCTTTAACTCCTACTTAGGCCAGCACACGTGCCACACACATGCCAATGATACTTCTCAAAATGGTTACTTCTCTGAGCATGGCCCTTATTTCTAATTGGGATCATTTCTACTTAGAACATGAGCTAAACTTATTCAAACAAATGGGGAAGGGGTGGGTTCAGCCAGGTCAGTGGACAACTGAGGTAGTCAATTTATTGCCTAAAGGAAACACTAGAGGCCACTAGGTAAGAGGGGGTACTTACTTGTATTGCTACCAAAACACCATATGACTTGCAGGAAGTCTGGGCATTAGTCGCTCCTCCCTCCAAAGGGCAGATCTGATTTGTCTTAAACCTACTTGGATGAGAAGTTGGGATTGGAACTCTTGGGAAAGAAGAAGCTATTTATAGATGGGGGGTAAGGCTGTGGGAGTTTGTGCCTTAATAAAAATTTTATTTTGTTTATTTATTTTTTAAAAGATTTTATTTATTTATTCGTGAGAGATATATATAGAGAGAAGCAGAGACACAGGCAGAGGGAGAAGCAGGCTCCATGCAGGGAGCCCGACGTGGGACTCGATCCCCGGACTCCAAGATCACACCCTGGGCTGAAGGCAGGCGCTAAACCGCTGAGCGGTGGGATCCCCGACAAAAATTTTAATTCTCAAAATCTTTGTTGCTGTAATCATGAAGGACCAAGCAAACAGACTATATGTTAGGAGGGAGTCTGCCAATCTGAAGGCTTTCCCACAAGTTGGTGTGGGGCTGTGGTGGAATGAAAAGAACTCCAGCCTGTTAAGTCATAGAGAACAGCAGTTAGCAGCTCAGAGAGACCTGGGTTTCCTTCCTGTCTCTGGACCTTCTAGCAGTGGATGGTCTTGGGCAAATCAACTTCTGTGTAAAGTGCAAACAATAATAGCACTTACTCTACAAGGCTCTTGTGTGGATTAAGTGCCTGGCACATAATACAGATTCAAAAATATTTGGAAAAAAAAACTTGCAAAAAAAATAAGCTACGACATCCTAAGTAAAGAAATTATTTTCTAATTCTGACTCAGTGTCACCATCCTCTACCCTGAGACTGATGTAACAGTAAATGAGTAAGGTCAAGAATGTCAGAAAACCAGAAGAAGGACCCATTATTTCTCTAGAAGGTCAGAATGAATAAGGACACCGAGAACTGTCAGGCATGTTCTCAGCAGCAACACTCAGCTTGGAAGGCCTGGAGGTGGAGGCTGGGGCCATTGTCTAGCCGAGCCTTTACTCCAGAGGCTCAAGTGGGCATCAGGAAATGAGCTGGGCCCTGGACAGGTCAGTTTGCCAAAATCACTCTCAATGCTTTGAAATCATGTTTTGTTATTTGAACAAAAATAATAGGTAAGGAGCCCATTCATAAAAACAAACATGTTGGGGCACCTGGGTGGTTCAGTGGTTGAACATCTGCCTTTGGCTCAGGTCGTGATCCCGGGGGTCCTAGAATCCAGTCCCCACATCGGGCTCCTTGCATGGAGCCTGCTTCTCCCTCTGTCTCTGCCTCTCTGTCTCTCATGAAAAAATAAATACAATCTTAAAAAATAAATGAATAACTAAATAAATAAATAAAATCTTAAAAATAAAACAAAAAATTAAAATAAAAACAAAGATGTTGTTTTCTTTGACCACGTATATTTTGTAACACTTGCATGGCTGACTGAATAATGTACATCTATGTCAGAATCCATGGAGAGAACAGACAACACCAGCACGTCATTCTGCCTTCTGACAATGGCAGATACACTCTGTGGACTGGGGTCACGCTCTGTGCTGAGTACTCTATAGACACCACCTTCTATGATCCTTATAACTATGAGGAGCAGGAGGTTTACTATGCCCTCCTCTTAAAGCTACGGAGACCAATGCTGCTGAGGCTGACCAACCTGCACAAGGCTCATGGGAGTGAGTGATAGAGCCTGGGCTCCTAGCAGGCTGCCTGAAGCCAGGCCTGTATTCTGAGTCCCTTCCTCTACTGCTCTTGAAAGAGTTGCCCTCCAGGAAAGCTGGACTTCTTCACAGCCAGCAGTATCAGCTCCACCTGAGGATAAAGGAAACTCCAGCTGCTTCTGAGCACACAGCTGGTCTGAAGGGCTCAGAGATAACCCCTTTTGCCACAAAGCTGCCCTTAATTCTGACCCCTCATCCTTAGCCTGGAAGGGGTCTCTCTCTCTCTAAATTTCCTTAGTACTTTATCTGTTCCTCTCTCAAGAAACTTAACCTTTTTTCCTCTATGAGACATATTTATTTCTGAACAGACTTCATTCAGCTGCTAGAATTTGAGCTTCTTATGGAAAAGCTGTGTTTAATTTACGAGCATTTTGTACATATGAGACACTGATTAAAATAAGGAAATCTATAAATAATGAAAACTTCTAACGGACGTTTACCATATGCCAGATAATATTCTAATTACTCTATATAAATTCTCATTTAACCCCCATGACAGTCCTATGAGGTAGGCATTACTATCTCCACCTGACCAATGAGGAAATTCTAGACATAGATCAGTCATGTAACTTGTTCAGCTGGCAACTGACTGGTATCTGTTGAAAGGAGTACATGATAAATTCTGGGCACCACAGCTGACCTTCTAGTCCAAACAACTACTGCAAAATGCACTTAGCTTTTCACTGTATCAAAGGTAGATTTCAGTTGTCATGCCATTTCAAACACACATTCACTGTCACACAGCTGGAAGATCCCCATTTTTTTCTAGACGTAAGTGAGAAGTATACTGATTGAGACTTACAGTTGTAAGTACAGATTTTGTTTTCTTTCCAATTATAATTGCTTATTGTAAAAAAAAAAAAAAAGGAAATATAGAAGAACAGGAAAGAAGGGAGGAAAATCCCTCCATAATCTTACCACCCAGAAGTAACCGGTTAACCTGCTGGCATATGGACCCAAAAAAGAACCGTATCTACACTGAAAACAATGTTTTGGGGTGCTTGCGTGGTTCAGCTGGTTAACTGTCTGACTTGATTTCAGCTCACGTCTTGATCCCAGGGTGGTTACTTCAAGTCCCGCATTATATGTGGAGCCTACTTAGAAAAACAACAACAACGTTTTAAAATCAGACACTTAAGTCATTTGGGGGTGGAGAGAAGTCAATACCATAAAAGATGAAAAAGAAATGTTTGACTTTTTTTTTTCTGGTTTTGGAGGACACTTGGCTGCTTTCTCTGCAGGGTTTGCGGTTCTGAGGGGCCACCTCCTAGCCCCCTAGGACAGCTGTTGATGCAGCCACTAAGCCCAGTGGAGGGATGGCAGGAGAAGAGAAGCTTGATCCCAGAAAGTACCTAAAAAATGGGTAGGTTCACAGGATACTTCCCTTCTAGTATGAGGCTGGGCATTCTTATCCTTTGAAGGACCCCCAGTCTAACTGCTAGTCTAACCCCCAAATCAAAGTGTACTGTTCAGTGTGGTACATGGAGCTTCTAGCAGCTTTCCACATAAGGCTGAGGCCTAGGTGGCAAAGAGACAACCAATTCCAAAGGAAATAAGGGCCTATCTCCTAAAAG